CTACCATTTCTGTAACAGACTAGTAGAAGCAGTAGCCAGAGCCAAGATAAGCAAAAGAGAAGTAGCTGAGTTGTAAAGAAGCAATGTTATTAATGTCCATATTTGGCACTGTCTTTTATGTACAAAATCCTACAGATTAATTACATGCACATGCACACAAATACATACACAGAACTAATAAATGAATTCAACAAAGTTACAGGATATAAGATCAACACTCAAAACTCAGCTGCATCTCTCTAACAATCAACAATGAAATTAAGGAAAGAATTCCATTTACATTAGCATTCACAAAGAATAAATTCTAAATAAATCTACCCAAGGAGGCAAAAAAACTAACAAATGCTACAAAACACTGCTAAAGAAATAAAAGCACACACACAGAAGTGGAAAGCATCCCTGTTCATGGACTGAATGACAAAACACTACTAATATGTCCATCCAGCTCAAAGCCACCTCTACCTTCCATACAATCTCTTATCAGTATCCAAGGGCTTTTTTTATAGAAGAAGATTTCTAAATTTATTTTGAATCTCAAAGGATTCTAAGTACACAATGATCTTTAAAAAGAGCAAAGCTAGAGTCCTCAGACTTCCTGACTCTAAAACATATTTCAATCCTATGGCAATCAGAGCAGTATGGTAGTGACATAAAGACAGACAGACAGACACACACACACACACACACACACACACACACACACACGTAATCCAGATACATGATAGCCACAACATAAAAGCTAAAACTGTTAGTATAATTAAACTGTCAGATGCCACTATATACTCATCAGTTTCATGAAAATTTAAAAGACAACTCCAATTGTTGATGAGTGTGTACTTAATCAGGCTTTTCATAAATGCTGAGTTTATAATATATAATGATAGTCATTTTAGAAAATCATTTGGAAAATTATTTGATTATTATATAAGTAAACAGATTCCATCTGATGACTCAGAAGTTCCACTGCTAGCTATTTACTTAAGAAAAAGAAACACAGATATCTATAAAAACCACTATAAACAAATGTTTATAACAGCCTGATTCATAATGATTCATAATTGTCAAATCCAGAAATAGCCAAAGCACCCAGATAAATTAAGTTCACCATTTGGCCAAAAAAAAAAGGAATAAAATACGGATATACAAATGAAAATATGCTGAGAAAAGAAGCCACACGCAAAAGATTATTGCATGATTACACTCACACACAATTTTCAAAATAAATAATAATTCTAATACCAGCAGGATACCAGGGGTTCATGGTAGTAATCTGTACTACCTATCAGGCCAAGATCTGTAGCTTTCAGGTTCAAGGTAAATCCAGGCAGCAAAGTTTGCTAAACCTCATCTCCAAAATAAAAAAGCAGGGCTGGCCTGATACCAGTGGCTCATGCTGATAATCCTATCTACTCAGGAGGCTGAAGTTGAGAATCACAGTTCAAAGCCAGCTCAGGTAGGAAAAGTCCATGAGACTCTTACCTCCAATTAACTATCAAAAAAGCCGAGAGTAGAGCTGTGGCTCAAGTGGGAAAGGACTAACCTTGAGCAGAAAAGCTCATAGACAGTGCTCAGGTCCCAGCTTAAGAGTAAAGCAAGGCTGAAGGTAGGACTCAAGCAGCCAAGTGAATCAAACGGGAGGCTCTGAATTCAAACAATAAATGACTTATCCATACCATAGAATACTACTCAGCAATAAGAGAAAAGAAATTACCAATGAACATCACTTAAGTGAATTTCAAAATTATGCTAGTGAATAAGAGATACCTATAAACAAAAAAAGGACATTTTGCTGAGTGTGATGGGACATGTGTATAATTTAGACCAGCTTGGGCTACAGCAAGACCCTGCCTGTCTCATGAAAAAAATAAAATGTCTGTATGACTTCATTTATAGGAAAATTAATCTATGAAAGGAAAAAAACGTGCTTGCCTCTAAAGGGCTTGAAATCAGGAATTCAGTGAGAAAAGTTAGGAGTAACTTTTCTATTTTCTCTAATTTAGCAGGCAGGTTAGCTTTTAAATTAAAAAAAATGACTTCAATTAGATTGTCTATTTTTTTATCTCTATACTTTTTTTTTTTGTCGGTCGTGGGGCTTGAACTCTGGGCCTGGGTGTCTATTTTTTTATTATCTACCGTATTTGTTGCTTTTTATCCTCTTTTTTTTCTGTCGTGGGGCTTGAACTCAGGGTTTGGGACTGTCCCTGAGCTCTTACTCAAGGCTAGCACTCTACCACTTTAAACCACAGCACCACTTCCTATTTTCTAGTGATTGACTGGAGATAAGAGTCTCATGACAGCGGGTTGGAAGATGGCTCAGTGGTAGAGCGCTTGCCTTGTATGCCTGAGGTCCTGGGTTCGATTCCTCAGCACCACGTAAGAAAAAAGCCAGAAGTGGCGCTATAGCTCAAGTGGTAGAGCGCTAGCCTTGAGCTGAAGAGCTGAGGGACAGCACCCAGGCCCAGAGTTCAGGCCCCACGACCAGACCCAAAAAAAAAAAGAAAATAATGTATCAAGAAACAGACGATGGCTGGGAATGTAGCTTAGTGGTAGAGTGCTTGCCTAGCATACATGAAGCCTCAGTAACATATAAACAGAAAAAAGCCGAAGTGGCGCTTTGGCTCAAGTGGTAGACTACTAGCCTTGAGCACAGAGAGCCTCAAGGACAGTGCCCTGGCCCTGAGTTCAAGCTCCAGGACTGGCAAAAAGAAAAAGAAAGAGAAAGGGGGGCTGGGAAGGTGGCTCAGTGGTAGAGTGCTTGCCTTGCATGCATGAGGCCCTGGGTTCGATCCCTCAGCACCACATTAACAAAAAGAAAAAAAAGCCGTAAGTGACGCTGTGGCTCAAGTGGTAGAGCGCTAGCCTTGAGCTGAAGAGCTGAGGGACAGTGCCCAGGCCCAGAGTTCAGGCCCACGACCGGACCCAAAAAAAAAAAAAAAGAGAAAGGAAGGAAGGGAAGGGAAGGGAAGGGAAGGGAAGGAGGGAGGGAGGGAGGGAAGGAAGGAAGGAAGGAAGCAAGGAAGCAAGGAAGGAAGGAAGGAAGGAAGGAAGGAAGGAAGGAAGGAAGGAAGGAAGGAACAGATTGTTAGCCAGGTACTATCGGCTCATGTTTGCAATCTATCTACCCAGAGGCTGAGATCTGAGGACCACAGTTCAAAAGGTATTACCGGCAGAAGAAATGCCCATGAGACTCTTATCTCCATTTAACTACCAGAAGTGAAATAGAGCTGAGGTTCAAGAGATAGAGTGCCTGTATTAAGTTAAAAAGCTAAGCAAGAGTGCCCTTGCCTTAAATTCAAGCCCCAGTACTGGCAAAAGAAAGGGAAAGGGAAAGAGAAAGGGAAGAATAGGAAGGAAATTGTTTGCAACTATGCAAGTGGACAAATATTAAAAAGTAGTCCTATATGATGATGGATGCTAAGCAAAATGAACTCCAAAATTCAGAAATAAGAGGTTTTTCTTTGTTGTTGATGTTTTAAATGTACTATGTGATTTCTTCTTTCTTTTTGTGTTTTCTTCCCTATGGTTTATCTCCTGTTGTCACTGTATTTGATTCTGGTACCCTGGGTATTGTATATACATTTATCTGAATTAGGGAAGGGAAGAGGAACAACAAAATGGTGAGACAAAGGCCAAACACAATAGCGATACTCACAAAACAATATGTTGAAATGAACTGTACAACTTGAAAGGGGAGTGGGGGGGGGGGGGAGGAAATGAGAGAAAAATAAGGGAAGAGGTAACAGTTCAACAAGAAATGTACTCACTACCTTACATATGTAACTGTAACCCCTCTACACATCACCTTGACAATAAAAGTAAATTAAAAAAAAAAAAGAAAAAGAAACCAAACCCAAGTGATACTAAAGAGTAAAAGTAAAAAAAAAAAAAAAAAAAGTAGTGGATCAAGATCAACTGAGGTGGGACTGGAATGTATAGCTCAGTGGTACAGTGCTTGTCTAGCAAGTGTGAAGTCCTTAGTTAAATCCTTTGTAATGAAAAAGAGAGACAGAAAAGAAACACACACAAAAAAATTTAAAAGTAAAAAAGAAAAGAAGAACAACTGAGGTATATTCCAGAAATGCAATATTAGCTCTTTAATAGATCCAAGGAAGAAAATCATATGATCCTGTCCACAGATGATGACAAAGCCTTCAACAAAATTCAATACCAATACGAATTTCTGGGGGGTAATAGGAGTGATGGAACCTCTCTTAACACAACAAAATATATGCACTTTAATCTTAGAGCCAGTGGGAAACACTAGAGGCATTTTCAATAAAATCAGGGACAAGACAAGGATGTATATCATTTCCACTGCAATTCAACATTATACTGGAGTTCAAGGCAAGGAAATTACATACCAGAAAGCAAATGGAAGAAGAGAATTAGAAAAGAAGTAAAACTATTTCTATTTGCCAACAGAAGGACAAATCTTGTAGAATCCATGATAAAAGTAACTAGAACAATAAAAGAACTGAGTACTACAGCAGGATAACATGAATCCTGCAGGGTTCATATAAAAAAACAAAAACTTCTTAGATGTTACATGTATAGAAAACTCCTTTATAACAGAAGTACCAAGCAGAACTTCTTTGGAATAAACAGGATGCCCATACAGAACTGACTGGCATTTGGCTTTTTTTTTGGTGTGATTCAGGGCTTGAACTTAGGGCCCCTCACTTTCAGTCAGTTTCTTGCTCAGCCATAAATGAAAAGGCTAAGCAGGATCACCCTGAAAAAAAAAAGTTAGAAGAAAAGCCCCATCTAGCCAACTAAACAATGAGAAATCTGTGTGTGGCTTCAGCCAACAGCCAGAGCCAAGTACCAGATAGGGAGGTGACACTGGGCCAGGTAGGGCCTGCCAAGCCATCAGATGACTACGACTGCAGGCAAGCCCCAGGTAAAATAAGCAGCATAGCCAGCTGAGGTCAGTTGCAATTGCAGAATCCAGTGGTTAAGAAATTATCGCTGCTGTTAGCCACAAAACTTGAAGAGCATACCTTCTTGTTCTGCTTTTTGACCTAGACCTTTGAAGTCTGTAGGATTTGCCCCGACCTCGTGAACGACTTCGACTTCGTTTTCTTCTAGAGCCATAAGATGAGCTGCTGCTTGACCGGTGCCTGCGTCTGAAACAAAATATAGAAAGTTGCTGTAAAAAGCTTGTGTTATGAGCATGAAAGAGAATCTAGAAGCTGGGTGCCGGTGGCACATGCCTGTAATCCTAGCTACTCAGGAGACTGAGATCTCAGGATCACAGTTCAAAGCCAGCCCAGGCAGGAAAGGTAATGAAACTCTTATCTCCAATAAACCACTCAGAAAACTGGAAGTGGCGGAGTGGCTCAAGTGGTAGAGCACTAGACTTGAGCTGAAGAGCTGAGGGACAGTGTTCAGGCCCAGAGTTCAAGCTCTGCAACCAACCAAAAAAAAAAAAAAGAGAGAGAGAGAGAATCCAGAATCTAAAGAACCACATCATGTTTGCTATACTCCATTCTTTTCTAGAAGCAAACAGAATAACTAAAATAATGTCTCACTTACATTGTCAGATGACTGATTCATGACTGAGGCAGCTACAAGTTAACAAGAGCTACACAAACTTTCCCAAAGTCATCAAGTAAGAGGCCAAAAGAACTACACCCGTTTATAATTACTTGATAGAAAGGATGCAAGACCCAAGAACTAGACCTGGACTCAACTGCCAGAAGCATATAACTAGTAAAAGAAAACTTGTTTTTTTTTAATGTCAGTCATGGGGCTTGAACTCTGGGCCTGGGCACTGTCCCTCAGCTCTTCAGCTCAAGGCGAGTGCTCTATCACTTGAACCATAGAGCTATTTCCAGTTTCCTGGTGGTTAATTGGAGATTAGAGTCTCACAGACTTTCCTGCCCAGGCTGGCTTTGAACTGTGATCCTGAGATCTCAGTCTCCAGAGTAGCTAGGATTACAGGCGTGACCCACCAGTGCCTGGCTGAAAAAAAAAAATTTTATTTAACAAAATTAAAAAGACAAAAATAAATGAACTCTAAAAGATGTCATCCTTATACTGGATAAATTTATGAACATCACCTTCTATCATAAGAATGTGAACGAGACTGAAGATCTCTGGACCAAGACCTAGACTTTGACCTGGACTTTCTCCCACTTTTCTTTCGGCTGTACGTTCTACTATCAGAAGAACTGCTTGAAGATGACCGTCTTCGGTGTTTCTTTTTTCTCTTGCTTCTGCTTTCTTCTTCAGTGTCTGATGACCGTCGTCCCATTTCTATAAGCTTAAAAATCAAAGAAAATTACTTCTAACATACTGAGTTAACATAGAGTTAAATTATGAGACCTTGTTTAAAAAAATTGAGAGAGCAATAGAGATGATTCTGATTAAAATGTCTATGTGCGTGGGGCAGGAGGAGGCTGAAGTAAGGGCTTGCTGTGCTACCCAGGCTGGTGGCAACTCTGGAACTCCATGGATGGATTCTCTGCCTCAGCTTTCCTGCAGGCACCCACCACCACACTCAGCTACTTGGTAGGAAATTTAAAAGACATATTTAAAGCAAAATTTTCAATGAGCCTAGCTTTTTGACAAGATATAAAAAATATTTCTAATACAAGTTTCCAGGATAGCAATGAATTTTTTTTCAATTTTTAAATAATCTGTACCAAATTTTTCAATTGTCTCAAGGGAGTCAGCCCTGAAAACATTTCACTGTATCAATTTTCTGTATCTTAAATCAATTTTTTATTAATTACATGATATCCTTTTTAGTAATCAACCATCTATTCCTTGATTTTTACATTTAGTTAAGACAAAAGATATTTTATTATTTTAGAATAATTTCCAAATCAAGAATTCCAAATTTAGAAATGAATTTAAGATGTCAACTAAGTACAAATTAAATGCATATAATCATTTCATTTATAAATTTTTAGGGGGGAGGGGCAGCTGGGAAGGTGGCTCAGTGGTAGAATGCTTGCCTTACATACATGAGGTCCTGGGTTCAATTCCTCAGCACCACATAAACAGAAAAAGCCAGAAGTGGTGCTGTGGCTCAAGCAGTAGAGTGCCAGCCTTGAGCTAAAGAGCTGACGGACAGCACCCAGGCCTAGAGTTCAAGCCCCAAGACCAACCAAAAAAGAAAACATGGGGAGGCTGGGAAGTTGGCCTAGTGGCAGAGTGCTTGCCTCAGTTTGATTCCTCAGCACCACATAAGCAGAAAAAAGCCGGAAGTGGCGCTATGGTTCAAGTGGTAGAGTGCTAGTCTTGAGCTGAAGAGCTGAGGGAAAGCACCCAGGCCCAGAGTTAAGCCCCCATGACCAACAAAAAAAAAAAAAAATTTGAGGAGGGGAGACAAGAAGCTAAGGAAAAGACCACAGCTGATGCAGTCATATGAACTAGTGTTCTTTATATCTTGCTTGTACCTATGCAAAATTTTTCATAACACACATAAAGTTTTCATATTTTGTTTCTAAAAACCACTTCTATACAGTTAACAATGTTAGTTTGTCTACTATTAAAAAGACAGAAATAGAATGTTAGATTTTTATATTTAGAAAAAACTTAGCTAATTAGTTCACCTGTCTTACCTTAAAGTCAACCTTTAGATTCTCATGTACTAGCTTTTCAGTTAAAATAGTTACTAGCTATCTTCTAGTCACAAAAAAGCAGGAATCATCCCAAGTAATACTTTATACCAAATAAATAAAAGTTCACATCTTTCTCACATCATTACTATCTACAAAGTAACATGGTAAATTACTGCTTTGTTTCCAGAATTATTTGGTGAGCAAGGACCTCCCCAATTCTGATGCCAAGTTAGTGAAAGCAGCTCACAGGACTAACTCAAAACCTCAAGCACCTTACCTGGACCCAGACACATCAAGCAATTCACCTAACACTTTACAAATTTAAAATTTAACAAAGCTTTGGGAAGACTTAGAGTTCAGGCTTTCAATAAATCACCAACATGCAAATTGAATACTGAAAAGATCATTATGATTCTGCACAACTTTAAAATAATTGTGAATTTATACTTATATAAAAGATGTATCTATACATACATAAAGCACATATCTACATATATTTGACCCTATCTACATATCCATGTAGATAGCTATTATATATCCATTAAGGAATATGTTCACAACTGGATGTTAAAAACAATCTTATAGGCTGGGAAGGTGGCTCAGTGGTAGAGTGCTTGCCTCGATGCATGAGGCCCTGGGTTCGATTCTTCAACACCACATAAACAGAAAAAGAAGTGGCACTGTGGCTTAAGTGGTAGAGCACTAGCCTTGAGCTGAAGAGCTCAGAGACAGTGCCCAGGGCCAGAGTTCAAGCCCCACAACTGACAAAAAAAAAAAAGAAGAAAAAAGAAAAAAACAATCTCATAACCAGGCACTGATGGCTCATGCCTGTAATCCCAGTTACTCACGAAACTGAGATCTGAGGATGGTGGTTCAAAACCAGCCAAGGCAGGAAAGTCCATGAGATTCTTATCTCCAATTAACCACCAGAAAACCAGAAGTGGAGGTGTAGCTCAAAGTTGTAGGGCAATAGCCTTGAGCAAAATTTGTTGTTGTTGTTTTTTCCCCTAAATTACAGATGTTCTTTACTTACAAGTAACCATTTAAATGAAGATGACTTTTCATTATGTCATTTTATTCTAAAATTTTTGAAATAAGATGAAAGGAATAAATAAGTATAAATTCACAAGGATAAAGAGACTACAAGAGAAAGAAAGAACAGTAGACAAGACATGTCAACAAATTTTTAGCAAATGAAAAACAGATGGAGAATTTAGAGCTAAGAATGTTGACTAGCACATAACTACAGAAAGTTCCAGCTAGAGAAAAGCCTATTCTCATCAGGCAGTGAGGCAGGAGGCTCATGGTGAGGATGATGGGGGAGGGGGAGAAGGGTTGCCCTGTAAGGGAGGGGGGTGGAGGAAGGGGGCCTCCTGGTGAGGCTGGAGGCTCAGGCCAGAATTGACTGAAGGGAGTGGCAGCTCCTTCCCCATCCTCCAGGCCTGTGACCCTCTCCCCAGTCCTAGCAGGAGAGGATGTCTATTTGAGCTGGGGCCTAGGAAATCAATGCAGTACCAAGGACGCACTTTAAAAAAAAAAAGGGGGGTGGGGGCGGGTGGAGGGGGCATTGTGATGCCAAACTAAAGTGAAAGGGATCAAGTAAAAGTCTACAATCTAACCATATAAACTGGACCTATATGTCTCCATACAAGAATTCTGAAGTCAAGGCTATATTTTAGGAAGTAAATTGGAGGAGTCTTCGCTGTAAAAACCGAACAGTATGTTATTAAGGATATCAGAATGTGGATGTTATTAAGGATATCAGATTTTGAAAGTACCAAATTAAAGATATGTATGTGTGTACGTGTGAGGATTTGCTTTAGAAAACGTCAAGCCTTGGAAAAAATTATATTAAGTGAAGTAAGCCAGGCCCAAAGAAACATAGGTCCCATGGTTTCCCTTATTTGCAATATCTAGTATATGTCTGAGTCAAGCAGAAAAGGTCAGATAAGTTGATGTTAGGAAAATGAACCCTAAGATATGTATTCCAATGTTTTTTTTTCTTTCATGCGATTGTTTCTAACACATAAGATTATTTCTTTGTTGCTTTGTATGTCCCTCCCCTACAGTATAACCCCTGCTTTTACTGTATTTGATATCAGTATAATTTGTGGAGGGGAAGGGGAAAAACAAATCGTTTAAATAGGGATACAGGTGGACCCACTGCAACAATGAGATGTACAAGTTGTTATGTCAAAAACGAACTTTACAACTTTCGTTGGGGGGGCGGGGAGGATTGGGGGGGCAGGGAGATTGGGTGGGGGGAGGATGGGAAGGGATGAGAAGGGGAAACAAAGAAGGAGGCCACAATGCTTTATAAGAAATGTATTCATTATCTTGCCCATGTAATTGTAACTCATCTGTACAGTATTTTCACAATAAAAAAATAAAATAATTAAAAAAAAAAAAAAAAAAGAAAACATCAAGCCTCCAATCAATGCTACAATGTAGCCGTCAGGTAACAAGTTTGAACCTAAACAGAGTGAACACTTTCCCATAAACTCTTCTTTCCTGTTAACTTTTTTTGTGTGTATGTGCTGGTCCTGGAGCCTGGGCACTGTACCTGAGCTCTTTTAATCAAGACTAGAACTCTACCACTTGAGCCACAGTACTGTTTTGGCTTTTTTTTAGAATTATGAGAAGGAGCCACTGGCACCCAGCTTTTGTATGAACTTTTCTGTGCAAGTCTAATAAAAGGTAATGGAACACATGATAAAAGCGTCTGCAGTAAAAGACAAGGTCTAAGAGTAGCTCAGTGGTAGACTGCAGTATATGTGAGACCCCAGGTTCAGTAACTAGCACCAAAAAGTAAAAAATAAACAGAAAGAAACCAACTCATAGTAAACAGAAAACACCTTAAGAGCAAAAATAATTTAATATCCTCAAGTATGTATAAGAAGATGATCTGATAAAGATAAACAGGAGAACTCTCAGAGAATATTATTCATCTAAACAAATGATAAACAACATTTTTTAAAAATATGATAGGGTTGGAAGAGAAGGTCAAAATCTCACAGAAGGTAAAAGGTCACAAACACTTAAGAAAAAGAGTGAGGGCTGGGAAGGTGGCTCAGTGGTAGAGTGCTTGCCTTGCATGCCTGAGGCCCTCGGTTCGATTCCTCAGCACCACATAAGCAAAAAGAAAAAAGACGGAAGTGGCGCTGTGGCTCAAGTGGTAGAGCGCTAGCCTTGAGCTGAAGAGCTGAGGGACAGCGCCCAGACCCAGAGTTCAGGCCCCACAACTGGACCCAAAAAAAAAAAAAAAGAAAAAGAGTGAAAGATTAATCCAGGAAGTTCAATATTCAATTAATATGCAGCTCACTAAAAAGGAACAGAAAAAGAAACAAGGGGAAAATTAAATCCAAAGACTTTCTAGAGCTGAAAGGATGTACAGATCTAAGTCCCTGGGATACTGATTTTTTTTTTTTTTTTTTTTTTTTTTGCCGTGGGGCCTGAACTCTGGGCCTGGGCACTGTCCCTCAGCTCTTCAGCTCAAAGCAAGCACTTTACCACTTGAGCCACAGCACTACTTCAGGCTTTTTCTGCTTATGTGGGCTGAGGAATCAAACCCAGGGCCTCATGCATGTGAGGCAAGCACTCTACCACTGAGCCACCCTCCCAGCCCCAGATATGTTTTTTTCTTTTCTTTTCTTTTCAAGCTAGTCAAATCTCATTAAAAAAATCTAGAAACCAA